GCTTATTTTAAATATAATTTATATATTTAAAAATAATATTTTTATATATAATTCATTATAAATTTTAGTTAAATTATTATAATAACATTTCCTAGAAATACTATTTTTTAAATAACAAACCAAACATAATAAGAATTACAAATCATGAGAATCATGATTTCTAAAACCCATTTGATTACTTATAAAATTTCTTGGGAATATATAGATTCTCATATTTGGTTAAAATATTAATATATTTTTTTACAGAAATATATATGTTTGGTTACAAAAATATGAATGTATACATTTTTTATATATAAATATTTTTTTATAAAAGATATTTAACTTAAAATAGTAATCAGCAATTTATATATAATTAAACTATACATAAAATACGCAGTAAATCAAAGTATAAAATATATTTATATGATTTATCATAGTAAAAAAAAAGTTAAATTAACAATCAAAATAATAACTAAAATTAAAATATATGTAAACTAGAAGATAATAATAAAGAACATATATAATATTATTTTGCTTAAATAATTTGTTAAATTTAGAAGGTAAAAATCATATTAAGATATTAGCAACGCAATTTTATAATTTGTAAGTTTTAAATAATTTTAAAAATACCATCGTTGAATCTTGAATGGTTTTAATAATAACAAATCTTTAGTTTTAAATGTTGGAAGATTAATCAATAATTTCTAACATATCTTTTCAAGTGTTTCAGTTTAAATTTATTATATCTTCTAAGGTAAACTCTTAAAAAGGACACTTAGAAGCAAAGACAACTACCATTGGTTATCTTCGTTCCTTGGTCAAAGTGCTCAAGATTTATGCATTAAGGATCTTTAAGTATTAACATCTTATCTTAGGAAAAGATATCTTGAGGAACCCGAATCATAATTTATCTAATAAAGCCTCCAAAATAGCGAATCTCAATTCAAGCCTATCTTCTCAAAAGATTAGCATTGATCACCTTGTTTAGAAGGTTACTTAGAAGCATCATCAGAAGACAACATCAAAAGCTCACATCCTTTGATGTTTTTGCTGACTAGACTTGTTTAAAAGTACACATCTTTGTCAACTTTGCTTCATCCTTAAGCGAGCTTCAACGAATACATTCTAAAGCATATAAAACAAGACCCATTATCAAGAAAGCAAGAACATTGAAAGTTATCAATATCTAAGGTAGATAAAGTTGTAATTACTTGCTTTATGCTATGTGATTCAAAGCTCTCACCATACACATTTGTAATATGATATGTTATAGAAAGAGTGAGAATACTTCCTTAGTGGAAGCTCTTATCCTAAGAGAGTTACATAGAAACCTTTAACAATTGTTAATGTTTCTCAAATGTGTAAACACATTTGAGTGCCAGTTCTCGGATTTGGTGCGTAGAGCAAAAGAAAGGGTAGAAAAGTTGCAACCAATTTGTTATGGTTTGAATCATAGCTATGGGCTATGAGGATGGTTTACTCAACATGTGTTTAGGGTTACTTTGTGACACCCTCTACCCCGAAATATATATGAAACATATTCTTGGTTTAAATAAAATCTTT